ATCCTAGAATGTTATGGAATGGGACATTATAGTTCATCACATTAGAACTTGGCCTGAGGTAAGGAACCCTAAATCAGAAAGATTCAGACATCGTGCCTGAAGGAAGAAGTAGACTCAGCGTGAATCTCTGGTGTTTTGCTCAGAACCAAATTTCAAAAATCTACCCTGAGCTCATGCTAAGACAAAAAGAGCATCTCAGTCTGTTGATGGGTCCTGAATCCCTTTAACACAGTAGGTTATCATTTAGTCCAGCGGTTCTCAGCATGTGGGTCGTGACCACTTTGAGGGTGGAACGACCCTTTCACAGAAGTCACCTAAGACCATGGAAAGCACAGACATTTACATTACAATTCATAACAGTAAAATTACAGTTATGAAGTGGCAATAAAAATAACTTTATGGTTGGGGTCACCTCAACATGAGGAACTGTAGTAAAGCGGGGAGTCACAGCATTAGGAAGGCTGAGAACCACTGACTTAGACACTTCTAGAGAATCAACTAGGGAAGGATACAATAGGTAGCAAAAAAATTTTTTATTTTATTTTTTTTAGTAAAAAGTAAATAAACCTTTAATAGAGAATGGCAACACCTAAAAGTTACCAAAAAAAAGGGATATTGGAAACCTGTTACCTGTTACTTTGTAACAACTTTTTACCCAAACCTTGCAGCTTAAAACAAACCTTTGCTTCTGGAACTCGAGTTCCCCACATGGCGTAGCAGGGCCTCTTGGTAGCAGGGCCTCTTGGTATAATGATCGTTTCTTGTCTGGTCTGTGGTCTTATCTGAAGGGTTGACTAGGAAACACTTGATTTGAAGATAGCTGGTATAGTTATCTGCAGAATTCCATTTCTTGTGGGCTCTAAGAGACAGCTAAGAAGTTTGTACTATGTCCTTCAGTCAATGAGGACGCTCAGAGCATTTCAGCAAGTTGAAAACAAAACTGAAGAATTTTAGATCAGTGTCATGACTTAGTTTTGAGGTGAGTTGGGAAGTAAAAAGGCAGCAGCCTCTTGGGTTGGTAGGTTTATAGTGCACCTACAGGTCAGCTTCTGGGCTTAGATGTCAAAGGTGCTTTACCCTATGGCCTTTGTCTTTAAGAGGCAGAATGACAGTGACATTTCAATGACTTCCAGTGACAAAGTCTGAATCAGAGTGAAGAGAGAAAGGTGAAAGGACACGAGCAGCATTGACACAGTGAGACCAACCATGAGGAACCAATGCAGAGCTGTCTGTGAGGAAGAAGAAAGGTGCAGAGAAGGATTCCTGCTGTCCAAACCAGTCTGGGGATGGATTCTCCATAGGACAGGTGCCATGTTTGGATCACTCCTGACTACTGCTAGGTGCTTTGCATATTTTGTTTCTAATGGTAGTTACAACACTTCAAAGGTGGCTCTATTATTTCTGTTCTACCAGTGACAATATAAAGTCGCTGCATTTAGGCCACTGGAAATGAATTACGAAGTTCCATGGACTGGAACCATAGTCATTGGCAGTGACTTTAGTGCTTGCTCTTCTTGCAGCCGGTGTACATTATCCAAGTCAAATCCTTCCCCCTTAAAGAAAAATGCCAAAGGTGGGATTCTGCAGAGCATCAACAGGCATTGAGGAGTGTTCTCCTGTCTTTCCTTGGTTGTCTCCCTGTAAGGTGCCTCCTCTATCCACTCCTATGTGTTAGAAGTCACCCACTTGCCTTCTGTCCACACTGTTCTTCTGAGGCAGTTGGTCAAATCCTTTGGAAAACACTGGGTACCGACTGAATTTATATAATAAAGTACAGGCTAAGCAAGAACTTCCATCCTTGGAGAATTTTCTTCCCAAATTGAGGACTTTATTCTCAGCAATTACAGTTACCAAATAATCACCCAGTCCCACTTTCAGACTGTCTTCTCTAGGAACACAGGCTTGGCTGCTGGACTGACACTTTGGCCTTGGCCAACTCAGACTGTAGTAGCAAAATACTATAGAACGGTTTAAACAATAGATAACTGTTTTCTCTCAGTTATAGAGATTGTAATTGGAGAACAGGGTCCCTTGTGGCAATTATGGCTTTTGGTGGCTCCTCTTTTGTGGTTTGCAGGTGGTCACCCATCATGCTATGTGCTCACAAGATCCCCCTTTTGAGACAGTGACTCACTGTGTAGTTCAGGCTGGCCTTAAATTTACTATTCTCCTACTTTGGCCTTCTGGATGCTGTAATTACAAGTACACACCATCATTCCCTGATCAATCTTAAGATTTCATTTAATGTTAATGGCTTCCTATGAAGCCACATCTCCAATCCAGCTACACTGGGAATTAGATCAGCAGCATATGGATTTCAAGAGGACACAAACATTCAGTCCACAACAACCCCCAGATGAAATCCATTTTTAAAACCAAATGGTATCAATATTTTATGTGATTAAAAGCACAACATATGTGCAACTTGAAAATGTTGGGTAAAACAAAAATAAGAAACCACCCATTGTCCTACAGAGATGGAACACAGCAAAACGAGAGGCAGGCTTGAGATCTAGGCATAGAGCATTGGGTTTCCTCTGGGCTTGTGTCCATACATAAACCACATTCACCTGCTGGTCTAAAAATGAAGGGGGAGCTGCAGGGCCACAAGCCCCACCCACAGAGCCTTTGCTTTGTGTATTCGGCTCATGGGAGAGTAGATATTCTATAAAAGTGATACATAACACAAGGGGGAACATAACCTAAATGATGGCAACTGGCCAACACACGGACCACGGTCCGCTGTCTTGTGGTATTTTCTCTGCATTACTCCTCAACATTTCCGTCATGCATGCCCCATCTCATATCATATTAATCCAGTTAAAAACATCACTACCCATTCAGTGTAACAAAGAGCAAGCACGGCACGGTAGAAAATCGCAACCACATCAGCCAGCAACAAAGCACTTCAGCCAAGTGCATGTGGGAGGAGGGACGGTAGGTAACGGGTCCTCTGCATCACCCAGCCCTGAACTTAGAGTCAACGTAAGGAGCTCTCCTAATACACAGGCCATGCTTTCGGCTTCTGAGAAGTTTGTATCAATCAAATTTTATACTACACCTCTCTTGCTAGTATAAAGAGACTTAATATTGATGTCTCAGGAGAGCCTCATTGCACAATTTTTTGTTGTTATTGTTTTTTAATATTCCTCAGAAATATATTGGAAAAAAAAACTGGTTTGGTTTGGTTTGGTTTGTTTCAAGATGTGGTTTCTCTATCTAGTGCAGGCTGCCCTGGAACTCACTCTGTAGACCAGGCTGCCCTGGAGATCCACCTGCCTCTGCCTCCCAAGTGCTGGGATTACAGGTGTGCACCACCACCACCCCAGTTCTATTTCCAGGATTTTATTAAAATAAGATACACTTGAAAAACTAAGTTTATTAGGATAATTGAAGAGGCTGCAAATGGCTTACCAGGTAAAAGTGCTTGTTACCAAACTGATGGCCTTAGTTTCTCCTCTGGGAACCACAGGATGGAGAAAACCAGTTCCTGCAGGTTGTCTCTGACTCCCACGAGTACACTGTGCACACACACACACACACACACACACACACACACACAGAGGCTAAGTAGCAAATGACTGTAACCAGATAAGAATGGCAGCCGTAGACGCTAGCTAGAGAGACATGCTTAGAAAACACTGAGCTCTCCAAATACTAAAAAAGTCAGATTTCTTGGGAATGATGCCTGGGAGACATTTTAAGGGACCCATCTACACGTATTTTTATACTGATGGATTATTCGGTGGGTGGTTTGTGAGAATTTAAAAAAGAATGTCTCGGTCATAAAGAATTGATACAATTCAGACTGAATGGAAAACAGATCAGGTTCACCCTGTTCATTTCTTTCCTGGATGGACTTAACGGCAGACAGCTGGGGTCACTAACGCTCCTACTTTAGCCAGCCACTGACAGGGTCGTCTGCCAATTACAGAGAAGGCAGAGCCAGGCTGCGTATTTACTTAGGCTTATCCTGACTGGCCAAAGGACTTTGAAAAGTTCTGCAGATACCTGAAGTAACAGCCCAGAGGAAGGTCACAGGTCTGTGCACGAGCCAGGCTGCCTAGTCTTGAGGCAAATGAAAACCTAGAAGGCATGTCACTGTAGTTTAAATGGAACAAGGAAGGCATGGCTACTTGTCCACTTTGAGTTATAGAAATGTCCCGCCGTGCCTCTCAGACCAGGCCCTTCCTACAAGGTTCCCACATCACTGCAGGTAATGAGATGCTCGTGCCGTATGGGTGTACAACCCCACCCCCCACCTCCATAGAGCATGTGGGGCCGGCCGGGAGGGAGCTGTGACAGGGAGGGAGAGGTCCGACACAGCCACACATTCTCCCGACATCTCAATAGCTCTCCAGACGGCCCCACTGTTCAGGGAAGTTCAGGGCTTGTTCTTCCCAGGACAGCTGAAGATAACTTTTTATGGAAATAAAGGGGATAGAAATGTAAAGCCTGGAGCTAAAGAGATGGACCAACGGTCTTAAGTACTGGCTGTTCCTCTAGAGGACCTGCATTGGGTTCCCAGTGCCCACATGGCAGCTCACAACGGTCTGTAATTCCAGTCCCAGGGATATGACGCCCTCTTGTGGCCTCTGCAGGCACTGCATGCCCATGGTGCATAGACATATATGTAGTCAAAACACCTATACGGGTAATTTGTTTTTAATATAGGGAAAAATGTTTTAAAAGAAACATACAACCTTTCTAACGAATGGAGCCTCAAGGGCTAAATAACCAGTTGCATGCAGCGATAATTTATCAGAAAAGACCTATGGCTTTCATTCACCTGAACTTTGACATTTGTTTGTGGTGTCTGTCTTCTGAAAAACAATGTACATCTGACCCTGCTACTGGCTGACAGGGTTCAGGTCACATAGTGTGATTAATTTAGTATTTACTAGATAGTGCCTGAAATAGAACTGTGTTCCACCTACAGGTTGCTATTTGAGAGTGACTTTTTTTTCCCTCCCAGAGGAGCAATAAGAATAGAGAAAGGCCCTGTCCCTAGAGGCGTTGCAGGTGTTACTGCTGTGTCACTGTTGAGTCAGAGGTGACACAGAGAGGCTATGTCTACACTCAATGTTCTGACCTTTGAACATCTGAATGATTAGTAGCCTAACATCCCTTGAAAAAAAAGTGAGCCCCAGACAACCACAGCAGTCTGATGCCATGCTAATGGGCTCCCTATTCAGAGAGCAATCCAGAGACTAGAAGAACCCTGTCTGGGACTACAGGCCATGGGTGGGAGTGAGTCTGAGACAGACAACCCTTGTAAGGGGCCACTCAGGCAGGCTGGGTGAAGACCTAGCCAGAGATGTCCACCAGACCCCATGGGGTCTGGACAGGAAACTGGGCTAAGATGACTACCAGTCTGGCAGGCATGGGGTGGGGCAGACCATGCCCAAGATGACCCCTACCCAATGCCATAATGCACAAGCAGGGCATAGTATCCCGGAGACCACTCCTGACATGGCTCCATACAGAGATCCCAGGCACCACTAAGAGGAACAAGTGAGTGGTCCAGAAATAGAAGGGAAAGAGAAACAGAAGGATGTGGGCACAGTGAAGACAGGCAGAACTGGAGACTGAAGGGTACAGCCTGATGTGCGTAGCCAGGGATGCCACCTATGTCCGTGGTAAGATCCTGGCCTGTGCTGCCACTGGGGGCCACATTTGAATCCGTAACCCTGCAGCATCATGGGTCTGTTATCACCAAAGGCCAAGTGGATGTTCCTGATCTGGGCTGTGCAGAACTGGACCCATCCCTCACCTGGGCATTGTGGGATGGTGGACTCTGAGAGACTTGAGAACTGGAGAGCAGACCCCACCCCTCACTGACTGCAGTACTTAGGAGAGCAGATCACACACGTTACGGGAGTTGTTGGTGAGCTGGCCTCGAGGATACAAGTGTGGGAGAACTGTCCCTACCACTCATCTCCCTTATGGTGGCATGGACAAGGGAAAGATACCCTCCTCCCCCTTCACCACCGGTGGCCAGCAGGAGACCTGGCCCTGGAATCAGGAGAGCAGGAGAACCAGCCCTGCCTGCCTCTTGTCTGCTGGACCGTGGTGCAGATAAGGCAGAGACATCTTCCTCTCCTCCCTCATCCCTTGATATCTATAGCAGGCAGGAGAGCTTGCCCTGGGATCATGAGAGTAGAACTGGCCATATCCTTCACCAGCTGTAACACTGGAGAGAATGGGTCCTGCACCTTACCCAGGCAGCAGGGTAGAGATGGCCCTGGTTGTGGGGGTTGCTGGTGACCTGGCCCAGAGAGTGTGGGAGCAAGGGAGCCATTGGGCTGACCAGCTCAGAAACGTCTCAGGCTCAGATCCAGGGCTTTGTATTGTCTCACCCCAACATCTACCCTATTGCTAAGTTGCTGGAGTGCATGAAGGGGCCAGTCCTGTAGATCCCAAACTATAGGATCTCCATGACACAGGGCAGCAACAGGATATCTGAGAGGAGTCCCATGAGGATCCAGTACTGAGAGAAGTGAGAGGCCTTCTGCCAGACCAAACGCAGTGAACATTGCAATGGACATTTGCAACCAAAGAAGTGCAGACAAAGGGTACACTGTGGGACAGACACACTGCGACTATTACAGCTTCCACAATGAGATTTTGTTCCCTCTGTTGAAGGGGGAGCTGCAAGAATGGACGGCAGGTACGGGGGGGAATGAGTGGGATTGGAGTTCATGATATGCAATTAACAAAGAACGAATTTATTTACATTTCAGATGTTATCCCCTTCCCCCATTTCTCCCCCCCCCTGGAACCCCCTTCCCCATCCCCCCCTCCTGCTTCTATGAGGATGTGCCCCCACCTACCTCCCTACTCCCACCTCACCACCCTCGAATTACCCCACACTCGGCGTCCAGCCTTCACGAGACCAAGGATCTCCTCTCCCACCTATACCTGACAGGGCCACCCTCCCCTACATATACAGCTGGAGCCATGATGGCTCAGCTCAGTGGTTAAGAGCACAGATTGCTCTTCCAGAGGTCCTGAGTTCAATTCCCAGCAGCTACATGCTGGCTCACAATCATCTGTAATACCCTCTTCTAGTGTGTTTGAAGACAGCTATAATGTACTTGCATAAATAAATAAATAATAAAATAAATATTTTTACAAAAAATAAAAACAATAGAGAAAGGTGTACAAACTACGAACCAGAGAGGTTTTTTGTGACACATATTAGCATCTTCCCATCGTTTTAAGAAGCACTTGTTACCATCAGCTTAGAAAGAGGCAGGTTTATGGTGTTGCTCACAGATTTAGAGGTTTCGCTGTGTGCTTGGTTGGACTCATTGCTTTGTGTCTGTGGTGACCCATGATGGAAGCACATGGCAAATTAAAACCACATGCCTCCAGGCCAGAAGTAAAGGAGAGAATGAGTAAAAAACTTGAAGGAGAGCCCAGAGTCTGAAAGATCCCCAATAGCCGAGAGACATTCCAGTAGGCCCAGCTTCCTACGTAAGAGCTTGTCACCTCTCAGTCACTCTATCCTAAGGGGATACCTAAGATCCAAACTGTAACAGCGGGAGCTGGATTTGCTTCCATCCAATAACATATCTCTGGCATGTAGACTAACATTTTATAATTTTTCTATTGTCTCAAGACTTAAAGAGCAAAAGAGCAAAAAAGTAGATATTGCATTTTCATTGAAATTCATCCATCCATCCATCCATCCATCCATCCATCCATCCATCCAACCAACAAATAATTACATATGCCAGGTTCTGTTGCACATTCTAGAGATTAAAAAAAAATTGAACAAACAGACAAAACCTCCCCTGACCTCAGACTTCTCATATTCTGCATCAAAATAATGAAACCAGATGCCAGAGAGATGGCCCAGTGGTTAAGGGAGCCTATTGCTCTTGTAAAGAACCCAACTTCAATTGCCAGTGACTGTGTTGTGTGACTCACAACCATCTATCACAGGAACTTCAGGATTCCCCAAGACCTCTTCTAGTGGGTACCTGCAATGCTCCCTGTCATAAATGAACACACACATAATCTTAAAAGTAAAATGGAAGGCGGGGGGTGTCAGAGGTTCAGAGCACTGTCACTCCTGCAGAGGACCTACGTTCAGTTTTAGCACGGACATGGTGGCTCACAACCACCTGTAACTACAGTTCCAGGGATCCGCTGTGTCCTTCTGACATCTGTAGGACCAGACAGGCACGTGATGCATTATACGTGAAGGCAAAATACTCATATACATAAAATAAATATGAAAAATTTTCATTTAAATAAGTTTTAAAGTTTCTTTAAAATAATATTAATAATAATAAAGAAAAGCAAGCATCAGGCACCATTGCAAAGTATTATTTTCATAAATGCTCAGGAGAACCTACAGCAGCATTCTGCCTCAGCTACGATACTGCTCTAGAATGTGTGCTGTTTTGAATGATCCCCCTTGACAGCTCTAGCTTGGCCCTTCAAATATATAGGAGAGAATACAAGTCCTTAAAGGGTGCTACCCACCCAAGAGATCCTGTTGGAAGTCCAAGGGACGGGCAGCCAACCCTGCGGTCTAAACCTGTCGGAACCACATAGGTGCGCACACCTCTGCTCCCTAGACCTTTCTCTTGACATTAGAAATTTTCCACAATAAAATATCTTAGCACTAAGAAGCCAACAATTCCTCACACACATCGAGTTACCCCATCTTGGAAGGTGTAAGCAGCTGAAACACAGATGAAAAGCCCTCTCTCAGAAATACCATTAAGATAACTTCTGCCTTAATTAAGAAGTTAGAACAGATGACCATCAGTTCCTCTGGATACTGGATTCTATGTTCTGGTGGGAGATCTGAAAACTTAATTGGAACAAGCATGCATGCACTTGGGTTAGTTCCAGGGCCGGGACATATGGAGTGTGGTCTAGCTGCTCGCTAATGCTAACCACATGTTAGGAAGCTGAGCGCTGATTCGAAGTTTTGTCTAAACACTTAACGATGGCTTTCATAATTATTTCACCAGATCTACGCTTGATCCTTTCTTCTTTGGTGCTTCTACCACAGAAAGCTCACTTAAGCTTAAAATAGGTATTTATGGACACTGTGTTTTACAGATATTAGGTATACTTCCTTAATCTTAGCCTCGTGAAAAGCACCTTTGAAATACAGTCTGTTTTCCCAGAAAGCACTGTGTATAACCTTGTCCATCATTGGCAGCCGACTTAGGCAGGATGCCCTAATTACACCTCTGCTATCTGTTATCAGATAACACCTCTCATCAGCCAAGCCTGTGAACTTCTCGTGACTCACTTAAAACGCTATGCAGCATCCGGGGACACATTTGACATCCAGAGGTAAGGCTGCTCCATTACAGGTGAGAAGTCACGGTTCTAAGTGGATGATTCTTGCCACGGTCCATAATGGCTGGACAGTTACCTTGGGAGTAGCAAACCAGAAACACCAGACGGTCATTACGGTGTGGATAGACTGACTAATGAGAAGAAACCCCACCTAAACCATGAAACAAAGTAACTTGAGCCAGGGATGCCAGCCTGTTGAGGAAAATCCAAAAGTGCAGCGGTTAGTCCCTGAGTAGATTTACCCTCTGATCCCCAAGGACATGATGGGCAAGATAGGACAGGGCAGAAGGGGCAGGGACTTTAGAGAAAGCACCTAATGTTAGCATTTTGTCTAAGCTCTGCCCCACAGTTACCTGGCAACGGCCAGGTATGCTCCTCCTGACTTACTATAAAAGGGGCTGCTTGCCCCCCCCCTTTCTCTCTTGCTCTTGCTTTGACTTCCTGCTACT